CACCCAGGCTTTCCCATACATCTGAGTCTAGATAATGTCTCGAAGCTCTAGTTTTGTGCTCTGGGCACCTGCTGGTTTGACAGTACATGGAAGCCACCAAGACTTGGAGCTATACCCTGAAGCAGTGACTCCAAGCTATACCTTGCATCTTTCATTGCATGGTTGAGGAGATGGAGCAGGTAGGGCAGCCAGCAGTGTCCTAAGGCTGCACAAAGCAGGGGGTCATGCGGCTGGCCTGCAGTGAAAACATTCTTTTCTCCTAAGCCCCAGGGCTAGTGACAGCAAGGGCTGCTAGGAAGATCTCTGAAATGCCTTCTGCCTTTTCCCATTGTCTTGAATTGTTTAGCACTGGATCCTTTTTATGCAAATATCCAAAGCCTTCTTGAATTTTCCCTGAAAAATCCAGCTTCTTTTGACCACTTGGCCAGGTTGCAAATTTTCCAAAGGTTTAAGCTCTGCTTCTCATTTAAATATAAGTTCCAACTTAAGGTCATTTCTTTGGCCGCATATAATACCACAGGCTGTTTGACACAGGCAAGACAACTCTTGAGCTTTGCTGCTTAGAAGTTCATTCCACCAGATACACCCTAAATCTTCAGCCTCACGTTCACAGTTCCAGAGATCTCCAGGGCAGGGACACTGCAGCCAAATTCTTTGCTAAGGCAAAACAAAAAAACTTTGGCTCCTGTTCCCAGTAATTTCCTCATTTTCATCAGAGACCTTCTCAGCCTGGCCTTCACTGTCCATTCTTCTGGCAGCCTTTTACTCACAACTATTTAACAAGTCTCTTTCCCTCATTTTCCTGTCTTTTTCCAAGCTCTCCAAACTCTCTAACCTGTGGCCATTACCCAATTCTGAACCTGCTTCTACATTTTCAGCTTTTTTTGTCACAGCCTGTCAATGTGGTAAAAGAAGAAAAGTCCATTATCGGGGGAATCTTCAAGAAGGTTTCAGATATTTGTATTAAAAAAGCCCAGTGCTAATAGTCAAGAGATTGGGGAAAAAGCCTAAAAGTCACTTCATAGCTTCACTTCGCAGCATTAATTTTCTGTATGTCCATAAAGAAAAGAGGATTAATTGACTCACAGTTCTACAGGCTGTAAGGAAAGCATAGTGGTTTCTGCTTTTAGGAGGACTCAGGAAGCCTCCCATTTGTACCAGAAGGCCAAGCGGCAATGAAATGTTTTGTATGGCAGGAGTAGAAGCAAGACAGAGAGAGGAAAGAGGTGCCACATCCCGTTTAACAACCAGATCTCATGAGAACTCAGTGTCAGGAGATCAGCATCAAGAAGATGGTGCTTAACTACTGGTGAAGGATCCGCCCCCAACCCCACATCCACCCCCTATCCTTTCCAGGCAGAAGCCTGAGGCAGAGGCAGAGCCTCTTGGAAAACCTCTACTAGGGCAGTGCAGAAGGAAAATATGGGCCTGGAGCCCCCACACAGGATACCACCATTCTCCAGACCCCAGAGTCATAGACCCACCAACAGCTCACAACCTCAGTGTGGAAAAGCTACAGGCACTCAACAGCAGCCCAGCCCATGAGAGCAGCCATGGGGACTAAAGCCTGCAAAGCTACAGGGGCACTGCCCTTGTAGAGGTTTTCTATGAGCCTCTGCCTCTGCAGTAGGCTACTCCCACTTCCACTACCCACCACACTCATACCACCCTACAGCCAGCCTACTCCTCCCCACCTTACCCACCTCTTTTTACTTCCAACCCCACCCCTCTCAAGTACATGAATAAATCACCTCCCATCAGGCCCCACCTGCTACATTCGGAATTACAATTTCCCATATGTTTTGATAGGGACACACAGCCAAACCATATTATTCTGACCCTGATCCCCGGAATACCATATCTTCTCACCGAGTGAAATACAATCATGCCTTCTCAAAAGGTGCCAAAAGTCTTAACTCATTCCAGCATTAACACAAATGTAAAAGGTTCAACATCTCATTTGAGAAAAGTCTACAGTCCCTTTTGCCTGTGAGTCCCTGAATTTAAAAGGGAGTTCTTTTCTTTCAAGGTACAATGATGGTACAGGCATTGGGTAAGTTTTCTCAATCCAAAGAGATTTGTCAGGAAAATAACACAAATGGGATCACAGGCCCACTGAAAGTCCAAAACCCAGCAGGACGGTATCCACTTAATTTTAAAGCTCCAGAATCATCACGAGAACTCACTGCCATGAGGAAAACATTAAGGAGATGGTGTTTAACCATTTGTGAGGGATCCTCCCCCAACACCCACCTTTCACCCCTCGCCCCCACCATAATCCCCCCATTCTCCCCAATTCCCACCTTCCAACACCCACTGCCCTCCATGATTAAATCACCTTCCACCTGGCCCCACTTTTACAATTTCCAATTACAATTCCACATGAGTTTCTGTAGGGACACACAGCCAAATCTTATTCTGTCCCTGCCTCCCCCAATCTCATGTACTTCTCACTTTGCAAAATACAACGATGCCTTACCTACAGTCCCCCAAGGTCTTAACTCATTCCAGCATTTACTCAAATGTCCAAAGCCCAAAGTCTCATCTGAGACAAGGCAGTCTCTTCTGCCCCTGAGCCTCTGAAATACAAACAAGTTAACTACCTCCAAGGTACAATGATTGTCCAGGCATTGAGTAAGAATTCACAGCCAAAAGGAAGATTTTTGCCAGAGAGAACAAAACACAAACGGAACTTACAGTTCACATTAAAGTCCAAAACTCAGCAGGCCAGTTATTCAAACCCACAGCTCCAAAGTCATCCTTTTTTAATCCTTGTCCCACATCCAGGGCACAAGGGTGTGAGGGCTGGGCTTCCAAGGCCTTGGGAAGCTCTGCACCTGTGGCTTTGCAGTGTTCAGCCCCCGCAGCTGCCCTCATGGGCTGTGCTGGTGTAGAGTGCCTGTAGTTTTTACCCATGAAGGATACAAAGCTCTTGATGGGTCTATGAATATGGGGTCTGCATGATGGTGGCCTCCAGTGTGAGGGCTCCAACCCCATATTTTCCTTCTGCACTGCCCTAGTAGAGGTTTCCCAGGAGGCTCTGCCTTTTTGGCAGCCTTCTGTCTAGACACCCAGGCACTTTCATACATCTTCTGAAATGTGTGTGGAGGATCTCAAGCCTCTGGACTAGTGCTCTGTGCACCCAGTGGCTTAACACTATGTGGAAGCCACCAAGGCTCATAGCTTGCACCCTCTGAAGCAGTGACCCAAGCTGTACCTGTGCATCTTTGAGACAAGGCCAGCGCAGGAGCTGGAGCTGCCCGGATGCAGGCAGCACTGTCCTGAGGCTGCACACAGCAGCAGGACCATGAGGCTGGCCCAGGAAACCATTCTTTTCTCCCCAGGGCCTGTGACAGCAAGGGCTGCTGCAAACATCTCTGAAATGCCTCCAAGGCTTTCTCCCCCATTGTCTTGGCTATTAGCACTGGCCTTCATTTTATGCAAATTTTTGAAGCCATCATGAATTTTCCCTCTGAAAATCAGCTTTTGTTTTGACCACTTGGCCAGTCTGCAAATGTTCCAAACTTTTGAGCTCTGCTTGTCATTTAAATATAAGTTCCAACTTGAGGTCATTTCCTGGGTCACACAAAAGAGCACAGGCTGTTTGACACAGACAGGACACCTCTTGAGATTTGCTGCCTAGAAGTTCATTCCACCAGATACACCCTGAATCATCACCCTCAAGTTCCAAGTTTCACAGATCTCCAGGGCAAGGTCTTCCTGCAGCCACGTTCTTTCCTACAGCAAAATAAAAGTAATCCTGGTTCCTATTCCCAATAAGTTCCTCGTTTTCATCTAAGACCTTATAAGCCTGGCCTTCACTGTCCCTCCTTCTGTCAGCATTTTAATCACAACTATTTAACAAGTCTCTACAATGGTCCAAACTTTCCCTCATCTTCCTGTCTTCTTTCAAGCCCTCCAAACTCTCCAACTTCCAGCTGTTAGCCACTTCTGAACTTGCTTTTACATTTTCAGCTATCTTTTTCACAGCCTGGCAATGTAGAAGGAAAAAAAAGTCCATTTTCAGGGGCAAACTTCAAGAAGTATTCAGATACTTGCATTAAAAAGAAGACCAGTATTAATAGCCAACACGATATGGAAAAGTAATTGAAGGCATTTCATAGCTTCACTTTGCAGTACTAATTTTCTGTATGATCATAACAAAAGGAGTTTAGTTGGCTTATGGTTCTGTAGGCTGTAAAGAAAGCATGTAACTTCTGCTTCTGGGAGGACTCAGGAAGCCTCCCCATCATACCAGAAGGACAAGCAGCAATAAAATGTTGCATATGGCAGGAGTAGGAGCAAGATAAAGGAAAGGGGTGTCACACCCTGTTATACAACCAGATCTTATGAGAACTCAGTATCACAAAGTCAACATCAAGAAGATGGAACTTAACCATTGGTGAAGGATCTGCCACCCAACACACCTCCACCCCCTACTGTTTCCAGGCAGAAGCCTGATGCAGAGGCAGAGGCTATTGGAAAAACCTCTACTAGGGCAGTGCAGAAGGAAAAGATGGGCTTGGAGCCCCTAAGCAGGAGGCCACCATCCTTCAGACTCCAGATTCAGAGACCCACCAACAGTCTGCACCCTCAGTATGGAAAAGCTACAGGCACTCAACACCAGCCCAGCCCATGAGAGTAGCCATGGGGGCTAAAGCCTGCAAAGCCACAGTGCACTGTCCTAGTAGAGGTCTTCCATAAGCCTCTGCCTCTGCAGCAGGCTACTCCCCTTCCCTACTACCCACGACCCTCACACCACCCTACGGCCAGCCTACTCCTTCCCACCCTCCCTACCCCTTTCTCCTTACACCCCCACCCACCTACCATCCATGATTAAATCACCTCCTACCAGGCTTCACCTCCAAAATTTGGGATTACAATTCCACATTTTTCTAGGGAAACACAGCCAAACCATATTATTCTGACCTTGACCCTTTCAAATCTCATGTCCTTTTCACAGGGTAAAATACAATCATGCCTTTTCAAAAGTTCCCAAAAGCCTTAACTCATTCCAGCATTAACTCAAATATAAAAAGTTCAAAGTCTCATTTGATACAAGGTTACAGTCTCTTTTGCCTATGAGTCCCTGAAGTTAAAATGGAGTGCTTTTCTTTCAAGGTACAATGATGGTACAGTTATTGGGTAAGATTTCTCAATCCAAAGGGAAGAAATTTCCCAGAAAACTAACACAAATGGGACCACAGGCCCAATGCACATCCAAAACCTGGCAGACCAGTATTCATTCAATCTCACAGCTAAAAAATCATGAAGAGAACTATCAGAAGGACAGCATTAACCATTTGTGAAGGATCTGCCCCCCACCCCTGCCTTTCACTCCCAACCCCACCATAATTCCTCCTAATTTACCCCATCATCCCTCCTTCCAACCTCCACTCTCCACCATGATTAAATCACCTTCCACCAGCCCCCACCTTTAACATTTCCCATTACAATTCCACATGAGTTTTGGTAGGGACACAGAACCAAATCATATTATTCTGTCCCTGCCCCTGCAAATCTCATGTCTTTCTCACATTGCAAAATACAATGATGCCTTCTCTACAGTTCCCCAAATCTTAACTCACTCCAGCAAATGTCCAATGCCCAAAGTTTCATCTGAGACCAGCATACAGTCCCTTCTGCCCATGAGCGTCTGAGTTATAAAGCAAGTTAACTGCTTCCAATGTACAATGATTGTACAGGCAATGGGTAAGCATTCCCAGCCAATAGAATAAAAATGCCAGAACGAAAAGCAAACACCAGTGGGACTCACAGGATACATGAACGTCCAAAACCCAACAGGCCATTCAATCCTACAGCTCCAAAATCATCCTTTTGGAATCCTTGCCCCACATCCACGGCAGAGGGGTGTGAGGGCTGGGCTCCCAAGGCTTTGGGCAGATCTCCACCTGTGGGTTTGCAGTGATCAGCCCCTGCGGCTGCCCTCATGGACACGGCTGGTGTTGAGTGTCTGTAGCTTTTCCACACTGAGGGGGCAAGCTGTTGGTGAGTTTATGAATCTGGGGTTTGGAGGATGGTGCCTCCCTGTGTGAAGGCTTCAACCCAATACGTCCCTTCTTTGCTGCCCTAGTAAAGATTTCCCATGAGGCTCTGCCTCTTGGAAAGGTTTCTGCCTGGACACCCAGGCTTTTCAGTACATCCTCTGGAGTCTAGACGCAGGCTCTTAAGCCTCTAGTCTCTTGCTCTGTGCACTACTATGTGGAAGCCATCAAGGCTTGGAGCCAACTCTGAAGCAGTGACCCAAGCTGTACCGGTGTATCTTTCAGCCATGGCTGGAGCTGGAGCTGCAGGGATGCAGGCAGCAGTGTCCTCATGATGCCCGCAGCAGTGAGGCCATGGAGCTGGCCCAGAAAATCATTCTTCTCTCCTCCGCCCCAGGGCCTGTGACAGCAAGGGCTGCTGCAAAAGTCTCTGAAATGCCATCAAGGCCTTTTCCCCATTGTCTTGGCTATTTGCACTGGGCTTTTTTTAATGCAAATACTCTAAGTGTTCCCTAATTTTCCTCCTGAAAATCAGCTTTATTTTTGACCATTTGGCTAGGCTGCAAATTTTTAAAATTTTTGAGCTCTGCTTCTCATTTAAATAGAAGTTGCAACTTGAGGTCATTTCTTAGGTTGCAAACAAGAACACAGGCTGTTTGACACAGACAGGACAGCTCTTGAGCTGTGCTGCCTAGATGTTCGTTCCACCAGATACATCCTAAATGATCACCCCCAAATTCATAGTTTCACAGATCTCCAGGGCAGGGTCACGGTGCAGCCACATTCTTTGCTAAGGCCAATCAAATGTAACCTTGGCTCCTGTTCACAGGAAATTCCTCATTTTCATCTGAGACCTTTTAAGTCCGGCCTTCACTGTCCATCCTTCTGTCAACCTTCTCATCACAAGTATTTAACAATTCTTTTCAGTGGTCCAAACTTTTCCTCATCTTGCTGACTTCTAAGTGTTCCCAACTTTCCCGACTTCTGTCTTTTACCCACTTCTGAACCTGCGTCTACATTCTCAGCTATCTTTGTCACAGCCTGGTAATGTGTAAAAGAAGACAAGTCCATTTTCAGGGTAAAATTCATGAAGGCTTCAGATATTTTCATGAAAAGAAGCTGAGTGCTGGTTGCCAGGACAATGGGGAAAAGGCCTTGAAGGCATTTCATAGCTCCACTTCACAGCACTAATTTTGTATATAATCATAAAGAAGAGAGGTTTACTTGGCTCACTGTTCTGCAGGCTGTAAAGGAAGCATAGTGGCTTCTGTTTCGAGGAGGACTCAGGAAGCCTCCCAATCATACCAGAAGGCCAAGGGGCACATAGGTGCTTCATATGGCAGGAGTAGGAGCAAGACTGAGAGAGGAAAGAGGTCCCATACCCTGTTATACAACAAGATCCATGAGAACTCAGTATCAAAGGTCAGCATTAAGAAGATGGTGCTTAACCACTGGTGAAGGATCCACCCCACCAACCTCACTTCCACCACCCAGTTTCCAGGCAGAAGCCTGCTGCACAGGCAGAGCCAGATTCATAGACCCAACAACAGCTTGCACCCTTCACTATGGAAAAGCTACAGGCACTCAACACTAGCCCAGTCCATGAGAGCAACTGTGGGGACTAAAACCTGCAAAGTCACAGGTGCACTGCCCTAGCAGTTTTCCATGAGGCTGTGCCTCGGAAGCAGGCAACTCCCCACTCACACTACACCCCACCCTTCCACCACCCTACAGTCAGCCTACTCCTCTCCACCCTACCCACCTCTTTTTCCTTCCACCCCTACCCACCTTCCATCCATGATTAAATCACTCCCACCAGGCCCTCATCCTTCTGTCATTCTCTAATCCCTCCAAACCATCCCAATCTCTGTTTGCTACCCACTTTCAACCTGCTTCTACTTTTTCAGGTATCTCTATAGCAGGTGGGCTGTGTAGCAATAACACAAAACCCGATTTAAGGGTGAACATTCAAGAAGACTTCAGAAATTTGCATATAAAGAAGTCCTGTGCTAATAGCCAAGACAAATGGAAAAAGGCCTTGAAGACATTTCACAGCTTATCTCTGCGGTTCTAATTTTCTGTATTATCATAAATAAAAGAGGTTTAACTGACTCGGGATTCTGCAGGCTGTGAAGGAAGCATAGTGTCTTTTGTTTCAGGGAGGAGTCAGGGAGCCTCCTAATTATACCAGAAGGCCAAGGGACAATGAGCTGCCTCCCATGGCAGGAGTAGGAGCAAGACAGAGTGAGGGAAGAGGTTCCACAGCCTGTTAAACAGCCAGATCACATGAGAACTCACTCACTGTCAAGAGGACAGCATCAAGGGGATGGTCCTTTATCATTTATGAAGGATCTACCCGCACCATTTTATGACTAAATCTTTTTCCACCTAGGCCCTGCCTCTAACATTAGGGAGTATAATTCCACATGGGTTTTGGTAGGGACACAGAGACAAACCATATTATTCTGTCCCTGACCCTACAAATGTCGTGTCCTTTTCACATTGTAAAATACAATCATGCCTTGCCAGCATGAGTCTTAACTCATTTAAGCATTAACTCATTTCAGCATTCACTCAAACTTACAAAGTCCAAAGTCTCATCTGAGTCAAGGCTACAGCCTCTTTTACCTATGAGCCTCTGAAATAAAAAGCAAGTTCACTGCTTCTAAGGTACAATGATGGTACAGGCATTGTGTAAGCTTTCCATATCTAAAAGGAAGACATTTTCCAGAAAGCTTCTTATTTCTATCTGAAGCCTCCTCAGCCTGGCCTTCACTGTCCATGTTTCTGTCAGGATTTTTGTCACAACCATTTAACCAGTCTCTAAGATGGTCCAAACATTTTCTCATCTATCTGTCTTCTTTTGAGCCTCCAAACTCTTCCAACCTCTGTCCATTGCCTAGTTCCAAAACTGCTTCCACATTTTTAGGTATCTTTATAGCAATGCTCCAATCCTCATTTGCTATTTTCTGTATGATTTATTTTGAAAAAGAGGTTTAATTAGCTCATGGTTCTGCAGGGTGGACAGGAAGCACAGTGGCTTCTGCTTCTGGGAGGCCTCAGAAACCTTTCAATCTTCGTGCAAAGAAAACAGTGAGTTGTCTCACACGGCAAGAGGAAAACACACAGGGTAGGGACATGACACAGAGTTTTCAATGAACAGGTCTCATGAGAAGTCACTCATAATTGTGAGGACAGTAGCAAGGGGATGCTGCTAAACCATTAATGAGAACTTTGCCTTCAGGATTCAATCACCTTAGACCAGGATCCACCTTCCACATTAGGAAATATAATTCAACAAAAGATTTGGTGGGGACACACACTTGAATTGCATCATCAATCTTTGAATATAAAGACATCCACAGCAGGCTTTATCCAGCCAACTTCTTTGAGACTCTTCACAGGGCTTGAGGTCCACAGCATATAAACTAAAATATTCACACTTCAAAAGCAATAAAATAAGTGGTATCATTCTTCCAAAAGTTACAATGGTAGTGTAGGCATTCATAGGCTGATTTAGTTCATGTTTGCTGCTCTTTCTATTCTACCACCATATTAACTGTTTCCTACACAATTCAGTATTCAGCTGAGTTTCCGCTGAGAACAAAACCATCTTTGTCCTACCACCAATAGCTGGCACTAGCTCTTTGCTAGTGTTATTATTCTGCTGTAGAAACTATCCTTGAACTGGAAACAGTCCACAAAGGAGTATCTAGTCATTCAATACTATCAATTCCTGGGTGACTTTTTGAAAAACTAGTATCTCTTGTTGCAAGAAATACTGCATCTGCGAGTCCATGTCTCTCATTTGAACTGGATGGAAGCAGTGAATTTCAGCCAAAGAGGCCAAAGAAATCCTGTTCCTGTGATTCTGGCGTCATCAGCCTCTGCACCTCTGTCTTCCCTTCTGCCACGTGTTGCCTGCTCTGCATGACTTTGGTAAGAGCTTCCTTGTGTATACGGATAAAGTCCAGGATTTTGGTCTGGTGTCCCTGAGACAGCACTAACAGGTCCATGACTGGGTCCAGGTCCTGCCTGGGCTGATTGGCAAAGAGCCAATCAGTGTTGAAGGCATCTCTGTGAAGTGATGGCCTGCTCCAGCTCCAAGACCTGGCCGAGGCTGAAGAACTGGCCACCTTCTGATGCTCTTTCTTAAAGCCCATCACCATCACCTGCTTGCATGTCAACTCATTGACTGTGAAGTTGAACAGAGTGCTCTGTTGTCCATCTTCTTGGTAAAGCACTCAAAAGCCATCAATCTTGCTCTCTCACTTCTAAAGGTTGAGGGCCACCTTGGAGGTGGGCTTAGGGTCGGGAAGAACCTGGAATTCACCATCTCATCCTTCTCAGCCTTCCTCTTGCCCTGTCTCCAGGCTGTCTCTTCAGCGCTGGTGGGGCACATCAGGAAGTGATGGAAGATGTGGCACTGTGCCCGCACCCAGAAGCTGGCTGTGTGGTTCACCCACCAGACTGGGCCCTTTCTGTACTTGAGCATAGAGTCCTCCTCAAGATGGCTTGTGGTCTGCCTCTTGGCACCAAAGAAGCCCACAGTGCTGTAGGAGCCCTGATGCATGGACCGGAGCCCCAAAGGCAGCGCACACCCTGCTCCTGAGCCTGCTGCTCATTTTCTCTATGTGGCTCCATTTGTAGCATAGTTGTTGCACTGAGGCCTGTGCATGCCAGGCAAGGCCAAGCTGGCTCAAAGAGCAACCAGCCACCTCTGCAAGGGTGTGCCAGGAGCAGGTGGATCAGCCACCAACTTCACTCGCTGCCAGTCAGGGTAAATCAGTTATTCCTCCCTGGAGGTAGGGCCCCAGTGCCATCTGCTTTTCCTCAGGCCTCCGCTCCATCAGCTATCAGGTGGCAGCTACTCAGGCTGTGGGAACCTGGCCACCCCTGCTTCCTTAAGGGGGTGAGGTTGGTGGCTGGTCCACCTGCTCCAGGCATACCCTTGCAAAGGTGGCTGGTTTTTCTTTGACCCAGCTTGGCCTTGCCTGGCATGCACAGGCCCTGGGTACTGACAGGCTGCTCTGAGTGAGCTTGTCCTGTCTTGGGCCAAATTCTAAGTCTGGCCAGGGCCATAGAAGGCTGGGTCCCCTGGGTGGTTATCCTGGTTGCTGCTGGGGGCCCATGGTGCCCTTCGCCTCCCAGGGCGCAAGATGAGGCCCGACTGGGCTAGGACCCTTTAGGTATGGATCTTATTGGGCCTCTGTCCCACAGGTTGGGTGAGAAGATGTATGGTATGCTGCTGGCTGCCAGGGTTGTCGGGATGCCACGTTCACCTTTCCCTCCAGGGACATCAAAGTGACCAGCTTCCCCTTTGAGAACGACTTCCCAAGGCCCAGGTGCCATCTGGGGCTGCAGGGCAGCTGGCCGCATGCTGCCCTGACTTCTTCCATGTTTGCTCATCACTACCCATCAAAGGGAGTCAGATGCAGCCACCATGCAGGGCTGGATCTGCTTCTTGGCTATCATGGAGCCAGACTGGGCCTGGTGATAGGGCCCTGATGGGGTTGTCCTGGTGGTCCTAGGGGTGTCCAGAGGAGATGCAGAATGGAATTGCTGTGAGGATGAATAAGATGACTGTCAGCACAGAACAGGCACCTGGTGAGTGCTCAGGGATTACCCTCAGTAGCTGCCCAGAGGCCAAAACCACCCACCTGATAGCGACTGCTCCTAAGCCAGGAGGAAGAGAAGAGAGCAGGTTCCACTCACCTGAGTATGATCAGTCAGCTGTGCTGAGATGTGCCTTTCACCTAGAAAACAGTCCTTCACGCAGAGCCACTCACGGATACTGCTGTGTGTCTCTAACTGCTCCACAACACAGAGGCAGTGGGGGCTCAGCAACAGTGACATCGTGGGGTGACACAACCCACCACAACTGGAGCCTGCTTGGGTCAAGAGGGCCCAGAGTCAGTGTCCTCTATCCACTGAACTGACATGTGTGCATGCAATGTGTTTGTGCATCTGTGTGTGTGTGTACATATGGGTGTGTTTGTTTGTCTTGCTTCTCTGGCCAGACCTAGCTGCTCCACTCACAGGTGCATCCAGGTCCTCATCACTGTCACCACCAGGGCCCAGGGCCAGCATTAGAGCCTCCACAGGTGCTCCTCAATCTCTGCCCTCCCCTCGGAAGGTGGTCCTGGGAATGCAGACAGAAGAGGGGTGCCGGACAGAGTAGAAAGGGCTGGCACCCTCTTTAGGTGGAACCCAGGTCATGTGTAAAGTTCTAGGTCTGTCAAGCAGGGTGGATTCAACACATCTTCTCACGTACTCTTTCTAGCAACCCTCCAGGGTGCCCTGACCCAGCTTCTCTACAGATGGAGGCAAGGAGGATCCACAGACAAACCCCCTGCCTGAGGTCACACAGCGGCCAACTGGCCAGGTTCCTACTTTCCAGGCACCCTTAACCAGGTACCCACTGACGAGTCCCCTAATGACCACTCCTCCATTGACTAGGTCCCACTGACCAAGTCCACACTGACCATGTCTCCATAACCAGGCTCCCATTAATAGGCCTCATGGACCAGACCCCACTGACCAATTTCCCACTGACTTGGTTCCCACTGACAAGAGCACAATTTACCAGGTTGCTGCTAACCCCACCCCCACTGAACAATTCTCCATGGATCAGTCCCTAGCTGACCGAGCCCCCTCTGACCAGGCCCTCACTGACCAGGTTTCAAGCCACTAAGGCCCCACACTGACCATGCCCCTAGTATACTGAATAGACCCCATCAATTGTTTACGTTCCAGCAGTTCAGGTTCCATGAATAAGGCCACCACTGACCAGGTCCCCACTGACTAGGCTTCCAATGACTAGGTCACCAGGTTCCCACTGGTAAAGCCTTCACTAAGGAAGCCGCCACTAACCTGGTCCCTGCTGATCAGGTCCCAGAAAGAATCAGATAACTTATAATAAGAGAAGCAGCAAGGGAATCTCTTTCTTTTTATAGTTGAACTTCTTTTCTTCAAAGCCAGGACCTCTACTTGTAACAAGCTCACCTCATTCTTAAGCCTTTCCATATCTTGCTGTAAGTCTTCTTCTAGATATGCTTTTGATGTTCTGTCACTATGTGGTGGAGAATAACTCACATTTTCTAATTCGGGTTTCATGCTTTTATAGATATTAGCAGTGGGACTGTCACATGTGGGTCCCTGAAACACACTTGCCAGTCATCTTCTAAGCTTTAGAAGAGCTTCTAAGTTCCATATGGCTTGTGGAACAAGCGCTGTATTGGTTTTTGGTTTTTGTAAGTGTCTGTAACAGCATAAATACTATGGCTTTCTATCTGCATCACATGCTTCAATTCTTTGGAGTAAGCAAACCACAAATCAAAAAGACTTTTTGGATTTCTAGACTGAGGCCAATGTCTAATGTCTAATTTCCAATCTGTGGTGTTTTGGGTTATATTTTCTTGTCATTTGCATATCAAACTCTTGGTCTTCTTTCATTTCAACCATAACTACTGGGTTCCTTAATTTTTCAATTTCTGTATCATTACAACAATTCTCTTTCTTCTTCATCTCTGTGAGAAACAGGCTACATGTCTGGTTTGTTATAATTTTTACAGTCTGATTTATTTTCATTTGAATAAAGCTTAGAAGATGACTGGCAAGTGTGTTTGAGAGACCCAGAGTATAAATGCAATGAAAAGACCTGAGTGAGATGGGCTCGTTCTGTTCAGGCAATGCCTGGAATACTACAGAGTTAGACACTCCAGGTGCATCTACTTCCTCACTATCAGGGATGTGATTCATCAGATTACAGGGCACTCCCTTTAAGTTTGTCCCCCTTTAGGTTTTCAGTGTAAGAGCTCCTCCTCAGGACAAACAGTAATTTTGGATTTTTCAAAACTTTCACCAATCTTCAGTTGAACTTTTTTGTAATGAATTTTTTTTTTTTTTTTTTTTTTTGAGATGGACTTTCACTCTTGTTGCCCAGGCTGGAGTGCAATGGCATGATCTTATCTCACCACAACCTCTGCCTCCCAGGTTCAAGAGATTCTCCTGCCTCAGTCTATCGAGTAGTTGGGATTACAGGCATGCACCACCACACCTGGCTAATTTTGTATTTTTAGTAGAGACGGGGTTTCTCCATGTTGGTCAGGCTGGTCTCGAACTCCCGACCTCAGGTGATCCACCCGCCTCGGCCTCCCAAAGTGCTGGGATTACAGGTGTGAGATACCACATCCAGCATTGTAATGAATTTTAAAAGAAGTCCTGAATATACAGATATATCCTCTTTATTACAATTCTTACTCGGTTCTGGTGCTTGAGACTTTTTTTTGCAGGTGCAAAAGTGGAAAATTAATTTGCTTCTTTTGTTTCTCAGATATCTTTTCTGACAGGGTGCATGTTTTAAAATTAACTTTATTCTAAATTAAGTATGAACAAAGAAAAAATAGAAAATAATTAAAATTGAACTGTGAAACATAATCTATGTTTTACTATCTCTAAATTACTGGATTATAACTAAGAAATAAAAAATAATTTGCCTTGGCTTAATATAGGAGAAAAAAGTGAACAAGGAAGCCTAACTCTTACTGTTTGTTTGGAGTAAACTTAATTCATTATGAATTAAATCTGCCAGAAATGGGTTCACAGATGATATGCAGTATTCTAAAGGCTTTCTGTCTTGGAATGATTTTTACCTCAGCATACCCTAAATAGTGAACCCCTACATTGAATTCATATTTCTAAGGATTAACTAAAGAGTAGGCAAATGCTAAAATATTAGAAGTCAAAATGAACATCAATCAGAAAGAGAAGAAAATTTTTAGATTCTATTCCAATGCTATACTGTAATATGATAGTGTTATCTAGAAGGTTATCAGCTTATATCCAGGTCTAATATATTCTAAGCTCCACTGGTGACAATGGGTTAAAAAATTTTAAAAGCGTTTTCTATAAATGTTAAAACAAAAAAGTTATTTTTTGGACCCTGATACCAAAGTGCCATTCTGGAAGGCATCATTCTCTCAGTAGGCAGTTGGCTTAATTTTATGACCCCATCCTCTCCCTGAACATAGACACCAAAGGCAACCAGAAACCAAAAAACAGACGAAGTCTTTAACTTCAGCACTGGTGACCAGCAACATCAAACTGCAAAGTTTGAACCACTTGGAATGATGACTCCTTTAACATGAGGTGAACTCAGGGGCCGTCACTGTCCAATTGTTCATAATTCCTCTTGCTTAGTAATACAACTCCATTTCTGATGCTACCTTCTTTATCATGAAGAAGGTTATAAAAATGAAAGAGCAAAGAGAGTTCTGGAAATTTCTGGCCTCAATTCCAAAGGGTACAGATAGCTATGAGTTACTATAGACGGTAAGAATATTTCAAATTTTATAACTGGCTAAAATGTTTTAAAATTCAATATGAAATTACGCTCTGTTGGATTCTAAAAGGATAGTCTAAAAGGTCATTTCATTTGGACTATGCCATGGTATTAAAGAAAAACAAGCAGACAAACCAATATTAAACCAGAAATTTAAATTGTTATATACCTGTGGCTGTTTATTTTCACTTCTTTCAAGTCTTTCTTGCTTTTCCTCTGAAATCACTTTTAAGTTGTGTTCTGCTGACAAATCCATATGTTTAGTGAAAATGAATGACTTAGAACAGTTAACTTAAAAAACGGATACAAAATAACATATACTTTGCTTTCTATATTGAAAGTTTAAATGAAGCTTTATGTTTACTGGAATATTTACATTTTTAAGAAACACTTCTAATTATCTAAAACTTTAACAACCCACTTGGGGAGACACTAGATATCAGCAGGTTCAAGACACGCAAAAGTCTCAGTGTCAGCCACAAATTATTCCACCTTAACGTAAGTAAACAAAAGTGCTGGAAACAAAATTTAAAAATATAGTGAAAACATATAAAGTAACACTTTACTATTCTTTACTTCATAATAGTATCTGTTTAACAACATGCTAAGCGAGTTATTATTTACTAATAATTTGCAAAATTTTTGTTACTGTTATACCTTTATAGTGTACACCCTGTTTTTTACATCTGAAATATTTCCTTCTACTATTCTGACAAATTCATTGTTGTGTTTTTAGACTCAGAATGTAGGCTGGGCACAGTAACTCACACCTGTAATCCCAGCACTTTGGAAGGCCCAGGTGGGATAACTGCTTAAAGCAAGTAGTTTAAGACCAGCCTGGAGACCATAGTGAAATCCTGACTCTATAGAAAATTTGCCAGACATGGTGGTGTGTGCCTGTAGTCCCAGCTATTCAAGAAGTTGAGGCAAGAGGATCCGTTAAGCCCAGAAGTTCCAGTTTGCAGTGAGTCTCGATTATGCCATTGCAGTCCACCCTGGGTGACAGAGTAAGAACTTGTTTCCAAAAATGGAAAAAGAAAAAAGGCTCAAAATGCTATGTGAAGTCCTCCTTGAATCTGGCTATCTTTCTCCACATACACAGGCTCTCCTTCCTTGGGGCTCCCTTAGTACTTTGTCCATTTTTCTAGTGTCACTTCACCATCTGAACTGCACATCATGTCTTTGCACGTCTATCCCCTTTGTTGCCAGACTGTAGCAGTCATCTTTGTATAAACAGTCTTTATTTTACTAAATATTTATTGAGTTCCTGCTAAGTGGTAGGCACTGGGGTTTAAAGAATGAGAATAAAAGCTGTCAGGAATGGCTTTTGGAGAAAACATGCCTGGACTGAGACTGAGACAGTGAGGTTCACCAGATTAAAAGAGGCAGAGGGCAGGAAAGATAGTACATGCCAGGCAGTGGCAAGAGAGGGAGAGAAGCCTCCCAGAGTGTATGTATTTGTCTACATGAGAGGGATGGTGACGGGGGCATCAGCAGCAGCTCAGTAATGCCAGAAAAAGAGGCAGACAGAGAAAGGGCTGCAGATGGAGATTTGGGCAGAAGCCAGTTTCTGAAAGCCTTATATAAACCAACTATTATTGTCGTTTCTTAAATTTTTTAAAAAGCAAAACAAATTAGAAAAGCATAATTCCAAGAAAAAGACCAACATTTTACTTTATTGTATCTTATCTTATTTTACTTGATTTTTATCAGAGATGGGGTCTCACTCTGCCCCCCAGGCTATACTATAATGTTGTTATCATAGCTAACTGCAGGCTCAAACTTCTTGGCTCAAGTAATTGTCCTGCTTCAGCCTCCCAAGTAGCTGAGATCACAGGGGCAGAACACCACACCCAGCTACAGTTTTTAAAAAACAGACACAGGGTCTGGCAATGTTGCCCAGGCTGCTGGACCTCCTAGCCTCAAGGGATGCTTCTATCTCAGCCTCCAACACTGCCAAGATCACAGGGAGGAGCCACCATCCCCGGCAACACCAATATTTTCAAATGAATAAACTGGAGCTCCACCGTTTTATTTTATCATGGATGGGTGAAAACCTTGTAATAGACTCATGTACTCCATGGATTTGTGACAAGGAAACTATAGCATTAACTACGGCTGAAGCTTCCCTTGTCTCCCCGTCTCTTTACGTGGTTAAGAGTAGAGACACTCAAGTGTCTTACCTTTTGCAACTTCTTTTCCTTTTTTCAAATTTGCAGGCTTCACAGCTGCTGTTTCTGCCAAACATGCAAGCTTGTTAGATATTCCTTCTAGAAAACATCATCCCTCTGCCGCCTTACCTGGCAAAGTTTCACTTATGCTGCAGGCTTCCTCTAAATCCTACCCATTTTTTTAGAAGCTTGCAGTCATCACCAGAAATTTAAAACTGCATGGCATCTAATGAACATAACAAATACCCAGTAAATAATAACTACACGCTCCCAGGTGACATCTATCCTCCATCTACCCTCTACATAATGGGTCAGCACACTGCAGACCACAGGCCAAATCCTGCCTACCATAAGTTCTTTCTCAGTAAAGTTTTATGAGAGTACAGTCATGCCTATTCACTGACATGCTGCCTATGACTGCTTTCACACTACAATGGCAGGGTTGAGTAGCTACGACAGAGACCACATGGCCTTCAGCTGCTTAAATCATTCTTGAAAAAGACAGAGAGAGAGAGAGAGAGAGAGAGAGAGAGAGACTCCATGGCCTAAAATATTTCCTATTTGGCCCTTTACAGAAAAAGCTTGCCAATCCCTGCTTTATACCCTGAACAGAATGCCCTAATTCTCAAATCGAATCTAACGCCTCCCCTGCTCACAATTTTCCAATGAATTTCTAGAGCAAACGCTGCTGGCTCCCTAACCAAGAGCAGTTCCTTGTTGTTTCTTGCTGGAGAATCACAAATTTGGATATTTCTTATCCCAATACCCCTTCCCAGCTTCAAAAGGTAAGTGATTATTCAAAGCTAATCACATAACCACATTTGCTTTCCCAGTGCCTGGTTTAGGAATGAGCATGTGGTGTGACCCAGTCAATAAAATATTACAAAAAGGGCTGAGCACGGTGGCTCATGCCCGTAACCCCAGCACTTTGGGAGGCCGAGGCGGGCAGAACACGAGATCAAGAGACCGAGACCATCCTGGCCAACGTGGTGAAACTCAGTCTCTACTAAAAATACAAAACTTACCTGGGCGTGGTCGCACATGCCTGTTGTCCCAGCTCCTGGGGAGGTTGAGGCAGGAGAATTGCTTGAACCCGGGAGGCGGAGGCTGCAGTGAGCCGAGATTGTGCCACTGGACTCCAGACTGGTGACAGAGCGAGACTACATCCCCGAAAAAAAAAAAATTACAAAAAGTCCTCTGCAAGCTTCTGAGTTTTTTCCCAATTTAAAAGACACATGTGAAGAAAAGCAGCCCTTCCAGCCTTTAGATACTGTCTTGTGAGAACATGATGTTTGGAGCTGTTGCTAAGTAGCCAACCATGAAAGGAGACATGAACAAGACACTGCCAACAGCATAGCTGAAAGAGGAACAAGTGGGATCCAATAATATCACCGGACAACCAAAACAAGCCTGGTTCTTATGGTTTGGCCACTGTTATGTCCTCTAGTACCTGCAGCCAGAAGCATTCTACCTCAGAAGTTTCCCCTGGCCTGCAGGATGAGATCTACTCATTTCTATGCTATTAAAAGTCTTTTATTGAACTTGTTTCTAGACACAGGTAAAACAACAACAAAGTCTCTCCTAAGCCTGCCTTCACTGACACGTACTAAACACGATAAATATGTAATAAATAATAACTGTAAGCTATTTTCACCTCATTACCAAGCACTCCATATACATTTTTTTGCACTAGTAAATTTGAACTGCTCATAAACTCTACAAAGTTCACTCAGGTGTCCTATCTTTTGAACTTGCTTCTTGTGTTTTAAAACTTTCATTCCTCGTGGCTGCTGCTTCTGTCAAACATGCAAGCTTGTTAGATACTCCTTCTGCCAAGCATCATCCCTCTGCCTCCTTACCTGGCAAAGTTCCACCCACTCTGCACGCTTACCCTAAATCCTACCACATTTTAGAAGCTTGCATTCATTACCACAAATGTAAATGTGCCTGGCACATACTGAACATGATACATATGTAATAAATACTATAAGCTCCCAGGTGACACTGGACATACAGTAAGCACTATTTAAGGTGGTAAATAAATAACAGTGGTAATAACAATCTCCTAACTGTATTTTTTAAATGTATTTTGTAACATTGGAAAAATGCTTAGTCTATAAAAGATAAATGATAGTTATTTTTTAAGTGGATAAGTATATGAATGAATTAAAATATTTTAAAAATTCTGTTGAAAAAACACAAAAATTAACTAGTTATCTATATTCTATTATGAGCACCTTAAAGACAAAAACTATGTCAATTCCATCTTTGTCTCCTGCAATTTGCCAAACCTAACTTACAGAAGTGGTTTGATAAACATGTATGAAATTAACAGTGTCTTTATACAGTTCAGATTGTACAATGCATTAGGTGTTATATTTGTGTTATTGTGAACCATTTTTATAATTTTATTATAATTTTTTGAGCCCAGAGTTTGGCTATTGGAATATTTATTATGATCATCCCTTGCCTAATGATTAACAGAGTATCTAATCTTTTGTTTTTTTTGAGATAGAATCTTGCTCTGTCACCCAGGCTGGAGTGCAGTGGCACATTCTCGGCTCACTGCAATCTCCACCTCCTGGGTTCAAGCAATTTTCCTGCCTCAGCCTTCTGAGTAGTTGGGATAACAGGTGCCCACCCCCATGCCTGGCTAATTTTTGTACTTTTAGTAGAGATAGGGTTTCACCATGTTGGCCAGCCTGGCCTCAAAATCCTGACCTCAAGTGATTTGCCTTCCTTGGCCTCCCATGTGCTGGGATTACATGCATGAGCCACCATGCCCAGCCTGATAACAGATTATCTTGTTCCAACAAAATTACTATTATTATGATAATTAACCAGCACATAAAACAACACAGCTTGTTCTAAGAAGTGAATTTATCTCATGAGGTTCCAACTTACGGTGAATAAATTAAAAGTAGACCGTGTTTGTATAAGAATATGTAACATAACTTCTGCTTCTCGGGAAGGGATTACTTTTCTGTCTTCTGCATTCAGTAGGTATCTTCAGATATAATCTCCTATTTGTATGGGTGCACAATGGCTCAGTTTTATGGTTCTTATTGCCATTTGTTTATGGTATCAGAAAGGGATTGTTGAATTCCCAGTTCTAAAGACAGTTATTTTCTTAGTGACATAGATTCCTGTGTAATGCAGTTGACCCTGAACAACAAGAGTTTGAACTGCAGGGGTCTACTTATATGCAGATTTTTCTTCTGCCTCTGCAACCCAGAGAGGGCAAAACCAACCATTTTCTTCCTCCTCAGCCAAATCAACCTGATGATAAAGATGAAGACCTTTGGGAGGATTCACTTATGTTTATGAATAGTAAGTATATTTTTCTTTTCTATGATTTTCTTTATAACAGCTTCATTTCTCTTGCTTACTTTATTCTAAAAGCATAGTATATACAATGCAACACATACCAATTATGTGTTCATCAACTGTTTATGTTATCAGTAAAGTTTCCAGTCAACAGTAGTCTATTAGTAATTAAGTTTGGAAGGAGTCCAAGTTATACTCAGATTTTCAACTGAACATGGATTAGAGTCCCTAACCCCCACAATATTCAAGAATCAACTGTAATTAACATTTATTTACTACATATAAACCATTTACTATAAAAATTAAATAGATCCATTTGCATAATAAGTCCAATTTGTAACAATGTAATTATAGAGGAAATCACAACATATTAACTTAAAAATCTAATTTCTTACTTATATTAATACAAAAATATAATCTAGAATTTTAGGAATCATAGGTAAGTAAATGAATTTTTTTCAGACAATACTGTTTGAGATTGAGAATTAGCTAGAACTAACTTTTTAAATAACTCAATTCTAAACTAAAGAAATTAAATTTAAAAAATTATTTTATATATAAATGTATATATTTTAAACTGCTCTTTTATGATTAAAAATATGTAATGTTATTTTTTTTTGTTTTCTTTGGAGATACAGCCTTGCTCTTTCATCCAGGCTGGAGTGCAGTGGTGCGATCTCAGCTCACTGCAACCTCAATTTCCCGGGTTCAAGTGATTCTCCTGCCTCAGCCTCCCAAGTAGCTCAGATTACAGGCGCCCGCCACCACGCCCAGCTAATTTTTGTATTTTCAGTACAGATGGGGTTTCACTATGTTAGCCAGGCTGGTCTCAAAATCCTGACCTCAGGTGATCCACCCGCCTCGACTCCCCAAACTGCTGGGATTACAGGTGTGAGCCACCATGCCTGGCCTGTAATTTTGCTTTTTGAAAATCAGTAAGATCACCAAGAGACATGAGAAATTTACTATCAGAAGTCTTACCTTGATTGTCATTTCGAAGATGATTTTTAAGCATCTTATTTTTATGTTCCAAAATTTGTTGTTGAATGCTATGCATAATAAATGTAACAAAATTAGTATTTTAATAGTGATATGAAAAATAATTACCAAACATATTAAATTCTTAAAGCATTTCAGACAATATCAGAGCTAATATCAGAACTCTAATGTCCAATACACTTTAACATTTTAAGCTCTATAAACTTGTTAAGCTTCTAATTAAAGAAGAAAAACAGAAAGTACACATAAACTGAGAAAAGCATAGCTCAGTAAATTAATTTTAGTTAGCTTAACAGCCTGGAAACTGCCCTGCACTCAGAGTAAGTCCTCGCTCTGTAACCAATAGGTATTTCGTTTTCAGACCAGTTGCTTCTCTTAGGCTCCACGGCTTCTTCAAAAAACAAAGATTTTACTACTTGACTTCACTAGGTTGTTAGGAGGATGTAATGAGATAACATGTTTAAATGTTCAGAGAAATAGTAAAGCAATGGAAAATTTTATTCTTGAGCTGCATTGCTGGAACAATTTTGGAATCTCAAATAAAACCTGATGGGTGTTTTTTCATAGGTTCTAATATTTAAATGTCATAGTTTACAGAGAATGTTATTAAGTACTAATTTTGCTTATTGGTTCTATTCATTGTGGCTTGTAGTTCACAGCATTTTAGCTAGTTCATAACTTGTAACTAAATTTATATATAAATATATTATTATCTCATTAAAACATATAACCTAATTGTCCCCTATTACTGAGCTCATCAATCACACCAAGGGCAGAAAACTAATAGATGTCAAAACCTGGCTGGGACAACTAACATTCCTTCTCTACCTCCTCAAACTCAGAGTCAGCAGGTCTGTGTTAGAGGCTGCATCTTCTGGGTCCTCTCCGACTGACATACAAGACAAAGCCTTGCTTGTATTGTTTTTCAGTTCCATGAAAGAGATGCAAGTTGATGTTTCCTCATTTTCAAGTCATGTACTAACAACATATTTGCATGTAACATCCCATATGCCACTCAGCTCTGTTCTCATTTCACAGATCACCTTACATGAATACTTCTATAATGTTCATAATAACAATTTCCATATCAGGTGTCTCCTGTTTTGGTTTGACTCACATTGTTTCCTTGAAGCTAGTTAACAAATAGTCAAATGACCTTCTGGGGACTGTGCAAGATGTGGAATGCTTTCTGAATTTGTGTGCCATCCTTAGGCAGCAGGCATGCTTATCTGTTCTGTATTGATCCAATTTTAGAATATGTGCTCCTGAAGCAAGTATAAAGCCCTGTTTTATATATGGATATTCAAGAGTCATGGATGAGGCTTAGCTCTGTTAAATCCAAATTACCTACTTTAGATACAGAGAATTCTATTGAATGACTTCCTGTGAGGTAGAATTTTAAAATATTTAAAAAACTTGAGGTAGAGAGGCGAGTAGCCTGAGAGATTTTGATTATTATGGAAACACATTACTTGTAGGGCCAACTGCAAGTTGGTGCCCCCGACTCTATTGAAGGATAATGTGGAGCCTTTTACTTTCTAACAAAAGCTGCTACACAGGACAGAAAAAAGCCTCAAGGTACAGATGTGACAACAAAAGGCAAAGGGACCTCGGCTCTCTGCCTGCAACATTATTTGAACATCCCTAACTGTTGAGTACAATCCAACGAATATTTGCTAGAGAAAAGATGGACACTGGTCTCAAAGGATAACATGCCATGAAGGTATAGGCTAAGCCTAGTCAAGAGGTGGGCTACAAGTAAGGTTTTTAGTATTAGTTAGAATGTCAATTTACTCACTGTGTGTGTGGGTAAAGCCAGGAGGACTTGCTGTCAGAACAGGGTGCCGAGAACAATGGCTGAGCCTATGTACATGAACTAAAAAACACTGTAGCTGTGGGCCGGGCACGGTGGCTCATGCCTGTAATCCCAGCACTTTGGGAGGCCAAGGCGGGTGGATTATGAGGTCAGGAGATCGAGACCATCCTGGCTAGCGTGGTGAAACACCATCTCTACTAAAAATAAAAAAAAAATTAGCTGGGCTTGGTGGCAGGTGCCTGTAGTCCCAGTTACTCAGGAGGCTGAGGCAGGAGAATGGCGTGAACCCAGGAGGGGGAGCTTGCAGTGAGCCGAGATCACAACTCTGCTCTCCAGCCTGGGTGACTGAGCAAGACTGTCTCAAAACAAAAAACAAAAAAATACCCACTGTAGCCTAGCTAAGAGGTGGGCTACAGATAAGGTTTTTAGTGTTGGGGGAAGTTCAGTTTATTCACTATGTGTGTGGGTAAAGCCAGGAGGCCTCACTGCCAGAGCAGGGTGCTGGGAACAATGGCTGAGCCTATCTATGTACATGAACTAAAAAAGCACTGTAGCTGTGGACACTGTGTATGAGTCACCATGGAGAGAGAGGGGTCTGAATCAGTAAGAGCATACTGGTGGCAAAAGTCAATCATTACCAGATTGCAGGACCAGTTACAATGGCAGCAATACAGCAAGTGAATCAATGGAAACAACAGAATGACTAGAACGGCCTTTCCCCCACTTCTTCTGACTTGTAAAGCAAGATTGTCTTCCTTGGACTTAGGGAACCCCTTAGCTTTTTGAAAAATTCAAAGGAGGAAGGCATAGGAGATAGCCCCAGGGGACAATACAAGATTTTCTGCTAAACTGGACATTTCAAGACCCAATAACTACTTAGAAAAGTCAGTCCAGGCATGGTGGCTAGCAGTTTGTGAGGTCGAGGCAGAAGAATCACTTGAGCTCGGGAAGATCAGCAACATAGTCAGACCTTGTTCCAAAAAATAAATAAATAAATAAAAATAAATAAAAAAATTAAAAAAGGAAAAGACGTGACATTATTTATATCTCACATATAAGGAGTATACTTGGAATAAAATAAACAACACTGAGATCCCTAGGAATAAAGGTCTTTAAAAGTCCTGAAAGAACCGTGCACTCATTGCTACTTCTAACTAGTCTAGCTTTCTGTTTGATTTCTGGCTAAAAAGTGGACTAACTAGTGGCCATTCCAAACTACCTCAACCAAACTATGAACTGTCACCTAATGTATAAGATGCAATATTTGTAATTATTTTAAGCCTTAATTTAGTGTTAACCAGTCTTTTCATATAAGCACATACCTCCTCAAATCACAACAAACAGCATAATCCTCGGCAGTTTGGCCAAACATGTCTTGAGAAAAGATATTTACATTTTGTTGAAGGAGGAGGCTGACGATACTTGACGAGTTATGCTGCACAGCAAGCATGAGGGCTGTTCTAATATAAAGAAATAACAGCACTCAAGAACTTTAATAAAGATATTTAATTAGCAAATTTGATATACTTTACCAATTTCATATCTTGCCTGTCAGGATAGACATAATAACCATTTACATGTACTAGCTTATGTGTATAAGCATCTTGGGTGCTCAAGTGTTCATCTTGGTAAATTACCACCAAGGCTGAAAGGCAGGGACAACAAGGAAGCTTCTTGTCCCATTGAGGTATGACATAATACAAGTTACTAATTTATAGTCCTTTGATGGCCAAGAAACTGTGCTGAGGTCACTTATCTAAAGTAGGCAAAGATTTAGATGAAGATTTCCCCATGGCTTTTCTAGTCTGATATATTGTAATTCAAAGTCAGCTAGGGGTCAAATAAGTAAGAGCTATCTGCAGGCTGAAAACAATAGCAGCAGCAACAACAACAACAACAATAATGGTAGTAGTTGTAAACTGAAAGTTAAAGTGTACACTTTATAAAATTAATAAAATACAAAACCCTTTAGCTAATATAAGATTACAGAACTAAAAACATCAGATTACAAATAACAGTCTACAAGAGAAGATGAATCCTACTACATTATCTTTTTTTACGTTGCTCAGTCCAAATAACTGCTTTTCTACCTAACTGATTATTTACTATACGCCAATAATGATAAGCTAAACTTATTAACATTTCTGACTTGCGTGACTGTTACCACTCTAGAACACTCAGGTTTTTAGGAAATAAACAAACAAACAAAAAACAAGCAAAAAACCCAAAAACGATTGCACCTTCTGTAATTGTCAACAGCATGTATATTTGCCTGGTTCTTCAATAAAAATTCCACCATTTGCTGTCTCCTAGAATTTATAGCAAACAAAAGTGGAGTGTTTCCTTCCTGTAAGAAAGCAAAAACAACTTATATTTCACAAAATTATGTATATCTCAACTGAACTAAAAATCTATAAGATGCTATGAACTTAAACATGCAATAAAGAAAGAAAGTAAACGCAAAGCAGTCCTTTCCTTTTCATTCCTCTGTGCTTTCCCACACACTGCCTTGCAAACACCTCTCCTCTGCCTCCCCATGCTAACTTCAGTCACCTCCAAAACTCACTTTATTTACCAGCCCCCAAAACCCTTGCTTCTATCTCAGCATTTAGCACAGTACATTGTAATTATTTCATTGTTTCCCACTGAAACCAAGAGCTTCTTGAGGGCAAGGGCTGTATCTTTTTTCTCTATAACCCTAAAACCTAAGATATAGTAGCAAATACTTTAAGTTTTTAAAATAAATTAATGATCTAAATTATTATCTCTAGACCATTATTTCTTAAGCTATATTCTAAAGAATACAAAAAGATTCCATGATCATCTGCATTTGAGAAGTATTACAAAACTGTATTATATGGCCAACAATCTAGAAATCCCTTGAACTTTGCCTAATCTCAACTTGACAATATTTTTTATGGCAAACATTAACATTTTAGGAACTAAAATCGCAGGGATACAGTTGCCAGAGCTTCCCAATACAATTGGAGATTTCCTCTGGGTGGCACAAACTTGCTTGACTTAGTTCTATCAATGGTGTCAGGATGCCAATATCAGGCACTCCTCATCCAAAGGGATCACCAAGGAAATGAGCTCTGAATTAAGAGAGATTGCCTTCAAATGCACTTATTTTCCTTATTATTAAATAGTCCATGGGATTTTTCCTAATACAAGAGGATAAATTTTTATCTTAACTATTAGAAAGCTCAGTATGTTCTATGTAAGAAAGACCGGTTAAAACTTTTTGAAAATAAATATTAAAAAGCAAAGGTCAGTAAGAGATTCTATTCTCAATTATAATGATAATCCTGGGATGCTAATGCAACTTTACTTTTTAAATCCATTTGTATTGGTTTCCATTTAAATTGCTATTTAACTTTTTTTTTTTTTTAACTTTAGGCAAAATATAAGTCAGAAATAAAAATACAATGGCTTATCAATAAAAGTTCTAATACTGATGTATAGGGCTTATTTCGAGCATAATAAAAGCCAATAAGTCACTTGAATTTTTAAGGGACATTGCTGAGAAGAAAGATATAATGTCTGCAATATTTATAATCTATCCACTTCTCAGCAGGAATGACCTAAAAAGGCTTCTAGGCATTCTCATGAGCAGATGACTATTTGTGGTATATATATTTAAAAAGAGTTAAAAAAACTTCTGAATTCTAAAATTCAAGTCTATAATTGAGGGATTTATATAAACTATAGACTATATATTATGAACCAATATATGCTGTTTTGAAAACCTCGAAATCGTTATGGAAATATACTATAAAAAAGGAATTGTAAACTCAAATACTTATAAAGATGAAGGAGTTACCTAAGTAAGTGAAGTACTTAGGTGGGCACAGTAGGAAACTGGAGAATATGTGCCTCCTACACAGGACAACATCTGCACAGCAGACCAAGCACTGATGCGGTTCAGGGGACACCAGATTTGATTCTTAAGCCCAAGGTCCATATTTCTGCATGAGTCTACTAAATTTAACATGTTGACTCAATTTAAAGAGGCAAAGAAAAAATCTGTGTGCCACATTTAGACTCTAGCCCTTGTGTTTTTATATTTGCTATGAATGTGTTACTAAATGATTGTGTATAAACCAAGTATTTGCAAGTGGAACTTTTTCTTTCTCTAGTATCATATGTTTAATAAAAAAACTCAGGCCCTGACATATACATAATAAAAATTGCTGTTAAGACTCATAATACCCACCTCAAGAATTTTCCCAACATTGATTCATTTTTCAATCTATGTGTATATCATTTTCCCAGATTGCTAACCAAATAGATAATTAGTTCATAGGACTGCGGAAACTGAATTATTAAAAGAATTCCTATTGTATTCTCACTGACTTCAAGGATTTCAGTGTTTAAAACTGACATCCTGATTATGCCAAAGCTCTATAAACTTAAGAGACACACTGAGATAGTCCCTAATACAACTTCAACTGAAAAAAAAAAGGGTTCAGGATTTGCTACTAATCTAATTGAGAAAATCTCACTTGTAATGAACATTTGTTGAAACAAAATCACTTGAATGGTGACAAAGGAACATGAAATTGTGAAAGGGTCAGCCTCTACTTATTGAAAGATTACCCACAAGCAAATTGCTGAAGACTCTCTGAATGGCAGTGAATGATTCATGGCGGGAAGGAAAGGGTGTTATTCTGTAAGCTGAGAGCTGTTGCCAATGATATTTCCTTTCACTTCCCAGTCACAAACGTAGAGAAAGACAGATAAGTCAGGCTAATGTTATTGGAAAGGAGAACTTTGAAGAAAGTAGCACCTATCAAATGCCAACTCTTTTAGAGATTTCTTATGTCTTTGAGATACAGGAATTTACATACTGCACTTATCTATTCTGTGCTTCTTAATCAGGAGTGTATTTGAACGCTGAGGTATTTTTTTTTCTCTTGCTGTTGTAAGAGACAAGAGTCTTACTATGTTTCTCAGGCTGAACTCAAACTCCTAGACTCAAGCAATCCTCCCACCTCAGCCTCCTGAGTAGCTGGGACTACTGGAACATGCCACCGTGCATAGCTTCAGACAAATATTTTTAACTGTATATGTTCAGAACTTATTAGATCTATTACATCAAAATCCTCAGGGGGAAAGCCTACACAGGTAGACTTTTAACAAAATTTCCCCACGTCACTGTAACGCACAATTCTAGCTGAGAATTACTGCAGCAGACAATCACTTCAGTTTCATCTCTCACCCACACGGCCAGTATCCTTTATCAGGTTGGGATGTGGCCAGAAAGAGAAAAGAGTACGAGATAGTTATTTATGAAAACTACAGTTAATTTTCCTGGGTGTGGGTATAACAGCGACAAGTAAACTCAGAATCCCAGTTGATTTTGCTATTTATAAGCTCCTTATCTCCCACCTTCCCACCAAGACATTCTAGATTTAAAAGGAGAGTTTAGACTCTTATCTAAGTGGCTGTTTTTGCCAGGATGGGTAATAAGTTAGTTACTAACTTGTTCCACCCTTTGCTGAAGTGTTTCTCACTTCATCACCATCTACTCACTGCCAATCTGGTTTCCTCAGAGTCCTCTAAGAATTAATCTTCATGCAAGTTTCAATCTCTCTTTTTACCAAACCAAAAATGATTACCCCAAAGCTGAAGAGCATGTTGTCTCAATACATAAACTGGAAAAACAAACTAAAAAACAAAACCTCTTCTTGGCATTTTCCCTCATTACCTTATTTCCAACTGACCTGCATGTTTTCGATTACTCTCCTTTCCCCTTCTAATTTTTCCCTCCTAAACCTTGCCAATGAAAGATACATCAAGTTTTTTATTTTTTAGAAAACTGTTAGCAGCAGCAAGACTTCCATTTATTGTAAGTTGCTTTAGTTTTGAGTTTTAAGATAAGGCCTCTTTCCAGAGTAATTTTTTTCCTGTGATTTTTTAATACTAATTAGAAAAAAAATACACCTCGGGTAGGAAACAAATACTTGAAGAGAAGTTTTACCTTAACAAATTCATAAATATTTCCCATAAGTGCATTAAAATAGCTGTGCCCTCTAATGCTTCTTTAAAAGTATCAATATTTAAAGTAAAATTTTAGACAATTAAGTTATTTCAAAATGTTTTCATTCAGGAATGCTTGAGTTCCAAATATGAAAAACTGACTCTTAACTATGTCAATGTTAAAACAAACATTTTGAAAAGAAAGTTGATTGATCTATACCTCATTTAGTGCTTCAATATTTGCATGGTGGGAAAGCAGTTTCTCTGCCAGTGAAGTCCCCTTATTATACACAGCATAATGGAGAGCAGTGTTGCCGTAGATATCCTTAATGTTTGGATTGGCGCCACGTTCCAGGAGAATAATGGCACAAGCCTCGTCCTGGCAATGTACAGCCTATTGGTGTTAGATAAAAAATTAGACTATAAATTCTAAGAATTCAAAATACATATTCCACAGGTTTCACCAACTAGTTATATTTAAATGAGATAAATTCATTTTAACTCTAAGTATTTAAATCAAATCCATTTCATGCTGAAAGAGTTGGCTACTATATACCTTCATTAAAGGTGCCCTGTTAAGTCTGTCATAGATGTCGATCTGGCATCTTCTCCTCAGCAAGAGAGTAACCACTTCTATATGGCCATGGACACAGGCAAAATGTAGAACAGTCCTATGAGAGTGAGAGGAGATTTCAGGAAATTGCAGTGCAGTATCTCAAAACCTACCCTGGTTCATGTAATTGTAAACATTGAATAGCATGTTATTCCTCTGTCTTCAAAACAAATAATTTTCTTTTGAAGAAAATACAATATTTATTAGCTCTTACTGCTCCCTACCTTAATGAAACAGCAGCCTATTTGGATAGAATAAGCTTGGTGTCTAGATTCAGTTCAACTATGGCTTGAGTTCTACTTTGAACTCAGTCACATACCAGCTATTGCTTAGACTTTCTGTGCCTCATTAATAAAATAAAGATGACAATGGCAGCTAGCTCACAGGACAATTATGATGCTTAAATGAGAATCTATGTAAAGCATTTAGAACCATTTCCAGAACAAACAACAACTCAATAACTGTGAGATTTTTGTTTGTTGAGACAGGGTCTTGCTCTGTTGCCCAGGCTGGAGTGCAATGGTGTATTTATACCTCACTGAAGCCTGGAACTCATAGGCTTAAGCAATCCTCCTGCCCCAGCCTCCTGAGTAGCTGGGACCACAGAGCGCACCAGCATGATCAGCTAATTTTAAAAAAGTTTTTGTAGAGCAGGAATGTCACTTTGCTGCCCAGGCTGGTATCAAACTCCTGGCATCATGGGAACTTACCACCTCAGCCTTCCAAAGTTCTGGAAGGACAGGTGTGAGCCGTGCACCCAGCCAGATGTTATAATTATTACTATTACTATTACTTAACAAAAACATTTTAGTTAAGTGAAATGATACAATTATTGCTTTTCTGCAGGATGATTTAAAGGTTAGGTCACATTTTAGTGTATCTGATATTGGAATGGCATTTATAATTCATAACTTTCTATAACTATAATTGGTAGCATTTAAAAAATCATCTTACTAATATAGAAAATAGTAGGGTATCACACAATCCATGAGGTCTTACATTAAGTAGAATATGGTGTACACAGCAGGTCTAGGGCAGTTCTAGGCATCTAAGTGGCACTTAAATACATTTTAATTCCTAAAAGTACCATGGGGAAAGACCACTGAACAACATGTTTTCTTTAAACAAATTATTTCTTACTTTGATTTTTAAAAATGTGAAGGTAAAGGAAACTAATGATTGAGATGAACGGGTACGGCTCATTTTAGTCAACACTTAGATTTACAGAATATATGCAAATCAGACTTTCCAATGATTAATATTAGTATTTAAGACTGATACATTTTGAAAAGGGCAGTTAAAGGTTATCTCTTACTGTTTTCTACCTTCAGAAATGCTTTTGCTTGAAAGGAGGGAGCAAAAGTTTCAATGAGATTAAGTCCTACTATTCCCACTTTAAATCTCTCACATTGCAGGAAGTCAGGGACATCAAACGGAGGGACCAGCTTGAGTCGTGGCAGAGGAACATAAATTGTGAAGATTTCATGGACATTTATCATTTCCCTAATAATACTCTTATAATTTCTTATGCCTGTCTTTACTGCAATCTCTGAACATAAATTTTGAAGATTTCATTTTAATACGGACATTTACCAGTTCCCAAAATTAATACTTTTATAATTTATTATACCTGTCTTACTTTAACCTCTTAATCCTGCTATTGTCATAAGCTGAGGATGTACATCACCTCAGGACCATTATTGTGTTAACTACACAAATTGATTGTAAAACGTGTGCTTGAACAATATGAAATCAGTGCACCTTGAAAAAGAGCAGAATAACAGTGATTTTCAGGGAACAAGGGAAGACAACTATAAAGTCTGACTGCCTGTAGGGTCGGGCAAAATAGAGCCATATTTTTCTTCTTGCAAAGAGCCTATAAATGGACATGCAAGTAGGGAAGATATCACTAAATTCTTTTCCTAGCAAGGAATATTGATAATTAATACTCTGGGAAAAGAGTTGCATTCCTTGGGGGGGAGGTCTATAAACGGCCGCTCTGGGAGTGTCTGTCCTGTGCAGTTGGGATAAGGACTGAAATACTCCCTGGTCTCCTGCAATACCCTCAGGCTTACTAGGTTGGGGAAAAATTCTGCCCTGGTAAATTTGAGGTCAGACCGGTTCTCTGTTCTCGAATCCTGTTTTCTGTTGTTTAAGATGTTTATCAAGACAATACATGCACAGCTGAACATAGACCCTCATCAGTAATTCTAATATTGCCCTTTGCCTTGTGATCTTTGCTTTTGTCCTTGCCTTGTTTCCTCAGAAGCATGTGATCTTTGTTCTCCTTTTTTGCCCTGAGACATGTGATCTTTGTGACCTACTCCCTGTTTGTACACCCCCTCCTTTTTGAAATCCTTAACAAAAATTTGCTGGTTTTGCAGCTCAGATATGTGATGTCACCCCTGGTGGTCCAGCTGTAAAATTCCTCTCTTTATACTCTTTCTCTTTATTTCTCAGACTGGCCGACACTTAGAGAAAATAGAAAGAACCTATGTTGAAATATTTGTGGTGGGTTCCCCTGATACACTCATCTTGCTCAGGCAGAACAGGTAAACAAAGTTTTTTGGTTTTTTGTTTTGAGACGGAGTCTCCCTCTGTCGCCCAGGTTGGAGTGCAGTGGCATGATCTCGACTCACTGCAAGCTCTGCCTCCCGGGTTCACTCCAGTCTCCTGAGTAGCTGGGACTACAGGCACCCACCACCATGCCTGGCTAGTTTTTTGTATTTTTAGTAGAGATGGGGTTTCACCGTGTTAGCTAGGATGGTCTCGATCTGACCTCGTGATCCACCCACCTCAGCCTCCCAAAGTGCTGGGATTACAGGCATGAGGCACCGCGCCTGGCCCAACATAAAGTTTTTAAGTATGGAGGGGTCCTGAGAGATAGTACAAAATGTCTGCTACATAACAGGTAGTCAGGTTATGCTTGATGAATAAATGGATTGATAGAATACAGTTGGGGAGCTCAATATTTTAAAATACAACTTCTATAAACCAATATTTTCATTAGTAATAATATTTACTATTTGTTATTTTTATAAAACTACAACTATAACGAAATGATTATCATTGTTTGCATATATGTAATAAATCTATACATAATAAAAACATATATATGCAATAAAATACATACATAATAAAATCTGCAAGCAGAGATTCCCTTTTTACTTCTGAAGAAGCTAAAAGTTCAAAGAAGATAACAACCCTCACAATAATAATGATAAAATGTAGTGAGAAAATTTTATCTGTACAGGATTCATATTTCTCTCTTCCGAAAAATTATTCCATTAATAATACATTTTTACTAGAAGTTTTATAAAAGCTCACTTCAGAAATCAAAGGTAAGAAAAAGGAACAAAAGACTTTAAAATAATACTAATGCTCAGAAGTTACAAATTTTATCCAATTTTGTACATAGTTTTGTCTAACATAAGACCATAGTACGTTTGTGTGTATGTGCAAGCAAATTTTTTTTTTCTTACTGGTTATAACAAAATACATCTTTACACATCATCATACTTCTCTACCTATTGCTACCTTGAATGGCCACATATCCATTCTATGGGTTCTTGTTAACATAAATGCTGAGAAAAACAAAGTGCATGTATCTCTATTTTCTTTTTTTTTAAAATTTTTTATTATTATTATACTTTAAGTTCTAGGGTACATGTGCATAATGTGCAGGTTTGTTACATATGTATACTTGTGCCATGTTGGCGTGCTGCACCCATCAACTCGTCATTTACATCAGGTATAACACCCAATGCAATCCCTCCCCCACTCCATGATAGGCCCCAGTGTATGATGTTCCCCTTCCTGAGTCCAAGTGATCTCATTGTTCAGTTCCCACCTATGAGTGAGAACATGCGGTGTTTGGTTTTCTGTTCTTGCGATAGTTTGCTGAGAATGATGGTTTCCAGCTGCATCCATGTCCCTACAAAGGACACAAACTCATCCTTTTTTATGGCTGCATAGTATTCCATGGTGTATATGTGCCACATTTTCTTAATCCAGTCTGTCACTGATGGACATTTGGGTTGATTCCGAGTCTTTGCTATTGTGAATAGTGCCGCAATAAACATACGTGTGCATGTGTCTTTATAGCAGCATGATTTATAATCCTTTGGGTATATACCCAGTAATGGGATGGTTGGGTCATATGGTACTTCTAGTTCTAGATCCTTGAGGAATAGTCATACTGTTTTCCATAATGGTTGAACTAGTTTACAATCCCACCAACAGTGTAAAAGTGTTCCTATTTCTCCACATCCTCTCCAGCACCTGTTGTTTCCTGACTTTTTAATGATCGCCATTCTAACTGGTGTGAGATGGTATCTCATTGTGGTTTTGATTTGCATTTCTCTGATGGCCAGTGATGATGAGCATTTTTTCATGTGTCCGTTGGCTGTATGAATGTCTTCTTTTGAGAAATGTCTGTTCATATTCTTTGCCCACTTTTTGATGGGGTTGTTTGTTTTTTTCTTGTAAATTTGTTTGAGTTCTTTGTAGGTTCTGGATATTAGCTCTTTGTCAGATGAGTAGATTGCAAAAATTTTCTCCCATTCTGTAGGTTTCCTGTTCACTCTGTGGTAGTTTCTTTTGCTGTGCAGAAGCTCTTTCGTTTAATGAGATCCCATTTGTCAATTTTGGCTTGTGCTGCCGTTGCTTTTGGTGTTTTAGACATGAAGTCCTTACCCATGCCTATGTCCTGAATGGTATTACCTAGGTTTTCTTCTAGGATTTTTATGGTATTAGGTCTAACATTTAAGTCTCTAATCCATCTTGAATTAATTTTCGTATAAGGAGTAAGGAAAGGATCCAGTTTCAGCTTTCTACTTATGGCTAGCCAATGTTCCCAGCACCATTTATTAAATAGGGAATCCTTTCCCCATTTCTTGTTTCTCTCAGGTTTGTCAAAGATCAGATGGCTGTAGAGGTGTGGTATTATTTCTGAGGACTCTGTTCTGTTCCATTGGTCTATATCTATGTTTTGGTACCAGTACCATGCTGTTTTGGTTACTGTAGACTTGTAGTATAGTTTGAAGTCAGGTAGTGTGA